CTCCCTCCCCCCGTTCTCCCTTTCCTTTTACACCCTATTCACGGACGCCGCTTACGCGAATTCCGTAAGTCCCGTCTGGGACGCTAGCGGCGCAGCCTCGCACGCCGTTTGCGTGGCCTACGCCGAGGAAGGAGACGGCGGAGGATGCTCCCCTGGAGCTTACGACCTTTGCGTAGCCGCTAGGGAGAGCTCTTCACTGGCCACTGGCGGGGCCCGGCCCCGGGCACTGACGTAGCGGGGCTTTGTGAATTCCAACCTGAAGTTTGGTTGAGGCTTAGGAGGGTAAATAAGGATGTGTCGGAGACAAAGAGCCTCTTAAAGGGGCAGCGCGGGAGGTGGCGTGTCCCCGCAGTGAGGGGACACGGAAGGTGATAGGGCCCCTGAAGTGACTGGGGGCGTGTGACACCCCACAGGGCCAGGCAGTGACAGGGCCCTGAGGTGGCTATGGAAGGGGTACCCACCACAGGCCCTGAGGTGACTTTGGGAAGGGGGAAATGGGACCTGGGACATCACAAGGGTGGGAGGTGACAGAGACCCTGAGGTGACTTTGGGGAGGGGGACATGCCGCAGGGCCAGGAGGTGACTATGGTGGCCTGAGGTGATCATGAGATGGCACCTCAAGACCCAGACAGGCCAGCAGCGCCAGAAGGGCGCAGCTGCACACCCACTGCTGCCACCACAGGCCGCGCAGGGGTGGCCATTGCTCAAGGGCCTCCGGGTGAAACCCGGCTCCCCACAGTGCAGGAGCCACCACGAGGGAATGGCAACACGTCGCATCAGGGACATCGGCACCCGAGCTGGGAGATGAAGCCCGTCCCCATGGGGGACAGTCCCACTGAGCGCTGGGACGACTCACCTCTCTGCAGGTAAGCGCTGAGGAGCTGCTGGGGAACAGGGGGTCCGGCTCTTGGAGCGGGTGAGGAGTCGCGGACTGCGCGGAACCCTGACACCAACCACAGGTCAGTGGTGTCACAGTGGCCACCATTCTGCTGGGACACACCTCAGGGCGCAGAAAATCCGCACAGCAGCTGATACCTGGCCTTGTGGCTCAACAGCCCCTGCCGAAGTGTGGCACCAGGAGGACACCACTTCTGATGTGCTGGGGCCAGGATGACGGTCCAGAACAAACGAGACGCGATTCCTTTGCACAGGGATAAAAGAGCACACACACCCCCTGCACAGTGCCCTCCCAGACCCACTCAGTTTTGAGGCAGAGCACTGCAATCAGCTGCAGCAGCTACTTTCTTCCGCAGAGGCACAATGACACCTCACGGTTGTGGCCTCCTCACGAGCTCCTTTGAGGCAGCACGGTCACCCTCGTGCTACGGAGGAGCTAGAATGCAGCCTTCTCGCAAATCCCACTTCCTACTAACTTTGTTATCCTCTGCCTATGCCTCCCCTTGCTGGCCAATGCCCGGTCTCTTCTGAATCCCTACCTGCACAAAAATCCATACTGTCATGCACTCCTGAATTCTTCAACAGCTCCCCACTGGATTGAGCCCTGAGTCTGCAATGGCTGCTAGGAATTAAAACAAGGCCTTTATGTCCTTACTCCCTTTGTAAAGCTTAGCGGGGTGCAGCTGCTTGGCTAGTGCTTCCTCATAAAAATGCCACAGCACGAAACAAAGCAGAACCCCACAGGATCCCCAGTGTGGGTTGGGGATTAGGAGTTTCTCTCTGCCACTGAAATGGCGTGTGACCCTGGAAGCATTACTTAACCTCTACTTAGCTGGGCTGGGAGGGGAGTTACAATACTGCAAGGGTATCCCCAAGGCCCCTAATTCCCTCTAGGTCAGGCTTCAATTCTCTGAAAGCAACAACACTGCCAGTGATTTTGAGAAGTGCAGAAGCATGGGTGAAAAATCCACACAGAGGAATATACCTCGGCAACCTTTCCCTTTGGATTTTATATTCACAGGAGAAACACTGGGAAGCAGCAAGAGAACAACCTTCCAGACCATGCCTTGACAGGCAAAATTAGGATGGTTTTCAATTACACGGGCTCAATCCATTATGGTAACACGATTAAAAGCCCCTGAAGACTTGTTAAGATGCAGACTAGCATGTTTGCACCCACATTAACCTGCCACATTGATGCTGGGGGGGCAGAAAGGAGGAGAAGACTGAAAAACAGGCATTTTGTCCATCAAGGAAGTAAAAAGCCCCAGAGTAAAGCCCCTTGTGTGGGGCACGTGTTGCCCTATTTACAGAATGCTGTTACATCAACACACATTTTTGCCAAGGCACAAGGCTAAACGCTCTCCGTCCTCACACGCGTGGAAACTCACTGACGTCAATGGCTGCGGTGCTGTAATTGAAGGCAGAATGTAGCTCAAGGGGTCCTGTTTCATTACTCTAAGAACAGTACAATGTATTAATAAGAGAACAGAGGTGCCCAGAGTTCCCAGGACATATTTTGTAATTTTAAGACACGTGACTGTAGTTTTGACATCTCTGGTTACAGAACGTATCTTTGGGGAATTAATAAAGCGTTAGCCACATTTACCATGACCAATCTGGTCATTAAAAGCAATATTTTTTAACCTTAAGATAGAAAAAGGGAAACAGGACAGAAATAACTATCTCTACAAAGATTAAATTTTGTTTTTATAAGTTTTCCCAGGCACATTTAACCATGTGCATGGATATCAGGTCAGATTCTCCAAGCAGCAGTGAAACAGTCTCATTGAAGTCAGTGTGCAAGTTATGAACTTGAGCTAAGAGATGCAAAATCCCAGTATGCTGGAATTTCCAATACACTTACTGTGCATTATGCCATTTATTATGGTTCATCAGCCAGGTCTTTCTGGACTGGTGCTGGTTAAATTTATTAAATGCCCAACTAAAAGCTCTAGGCACTCTAGCAGTTAATTAGGTTTACAGATATAAAAGACAATCACAAAGAAAACATATCTAAACTAGTTCTTTTCCAGTTAGCAAATCAAGGTAACATAACAGCTTATTTTCCCCCTTATTATTTTAAGCTTATTATTTTAATTAGGGAAATTTATTTAGGTGAACGTTTCTGTTTTGCTTGCTCTTCAGATTCTTTAAGACTTGTATAGGTAAGCAACCAACAATATTTTTTGACAGGAAGATACACACTGCTTCTGCACCAGGTACCCACTGTCCTTCTTGCAAGTCTCCCTTCCTAGAAGTGTCTTTATACCTTCTCCACATCCTCTCTTTTTGTCCAAGACATAGGTTCTGGAGTTGGAACCCTGCAAAGACCCTTTGCATTTCCTGGGATGGCTCTGCCAGGGAACTTCAGCACAAAGGTTAGTGGCAGAATGAGTAAAAAAAGGAAAGAAAGAAAACATTACAACTACAACCCAAGCAGATACTGAATGGGTAATACCAAGGGGACAGATGCCTCAAAAGGGATCTAATTTCCCTGGTTTTTGTGCTGTAAAAATAAATCACCACTGCGAAATATTCAAGTGATATCACATAGTAAAGCCTTAATAATAAATCTTCAGCTCTTACTCCTCGAATATTTCGTTACTCGGTATATCTGCTGAAGTCACCAGGATTTCTTAGGTGAGAAATGATGTATCAGAATGGGACATTTATTAGATACCTTTCAAACAGCAAGATAAAGTGGCTGGTATTCAGTTTCAGTGCATGAGAGGGTTCCTGCCAGACATTTATCACTAGGCTTCACTGGAGTCATATGAGAGGTAGAACATTTTAATACTCCCATCAGATGCAAAAGATTAACGCAAGCTAAGAACATACCCATAATATGAATGCAAGAATTCCTGTAGATTTTTCCACAGGGAAATTAGTTTGCTTCAGGGTTATAAAGCTCTTGAACCAAATCAAAGATAAAACTCTGATAAGCAATTGTTTCCACACATTAAAAAATCTTAAAAGCAAAACACCACAAACAGCACCACACTTGGTGCACACAAAGACTCCATCTCCTCTCAAAAATACAGCTTTTATTTTGGTGAAAAATAACAAGATGCTTTCACACGGACATCTAAAAATCTCCCTCAGTAGCTGTTTACAGTCAAGGAAACTCTACCCTTGCATGTATTTGGCTGGAATTTCTCCCTTTTCCTCCTTATGCAAGGCAAATGATAATTCCCTGCGTGAAGCACTGCACTTAGAATCATCTCAGCCACGTGCCCATCACAGACGCTCCCAGAAAAAGATGACAACAAGAAATATTCGTAGCATTCCAGACCTTTGCTTTAAAACAGGGGAAAGATTAGAAACAAATGAAAAACAAACCTCGAAATCCAACCAAATGAAACCTTGGGCTGGCTCCAGTGCTGCTTCTGGGAGAGGTGCCTGATCCATAGAATCCAGGGAAGAGGATGCAGTTGCTTTAAACACGGCTTCAGGCAGTGCTTTCATCTGATTCCTGCCACGGGCACCTGCTGCTGCTTGCGGATCTTATTGAACAGCTCCATGTACTGGACCATGGTGTCTGCTGGGCTGTAGATGCTGTCGTGCTTGGTGCCAAACACCGACGGGATGCCGGGAGTGTGGCTCCCCATGAAGCTCTGCATGAATTCCATGAGCAGGTTCCAGCAGTCGTTGGCTATCACGCAGGGGCAGTACTCGACCTGGCAACAGAAACCAGCACGCTGAAGCTCGCAGCGATACACGGCCAACAATCCCACGGGCAACAACGTGACTCCCCTTTGCTTTGCTAGAAATACACGTTTAGCCAAAGGTTTCACACCGAGAGACCAACTTTTCAGTGCTTTGGTTACAAATTGATATATAATAGGTGAAAAGAGATGAGAGGAGAGTATGTATCATAAAACAGAAGGAAGGGCAAACATAAATGAACAAGATGGGCTGCGAACAAACCAGCAATCCCTATAAGTTCATGCCCATGTTAAATGTCCAGGAGAGGAGGTCTCAGGACTTTAGTGCACACAGAACCAGGGCAGGAGGACTCTGCTCTCCCCTGGGCTGCCCAAGGGGCTGGGCTGTCTGCTCAGCATAGGGAAAGGAAGCAAATCCCAAATGAGCATTAAATCATCAGCTAAGGAGGGTGTTTTGTCCCCTTTGGTATGTGTAATCACCCAAAGCTGCTAGTGTTGTGTGTCAGGACTTTAAGTGTCTTTTTAGTTTGATGGCATCCCTTTGAGGTTTGGTTTGCTGGCACTTCAATGAGAGGCTTTTCCACAGCTGCAGCTGACCCCCAAAGTAGGCGTCTGAATTAAACCCTGCCATGGAAAAGGGATAAATTTCACATCTACATGGATACACCTGATACAAACTGCCAGAAACTAGTATACAAATTCCCATTTGATGCTGACCATTAGACCAGGCAGTCAATACAGAGAAGGAAAAGGGGCTCCAGATTTGTAGTCTGGCTCCTAGCACGGGATTTCTCTATCAGCACTTGCATTTTGTATCCTTCAAAGGCAATCCTTACCTCCACAGCTATCCCCCGGGCGCTGGGCCCCATTGTAACCGTGCCCACCTTCACCAAGAAGTCACAGTACTGGTAGCGGGTACCCCGGCTCTCTATCTTGTTGGCCTTGGCGTTTTGGAAGAAGCCTTTGAGCTTCACCATGAGGATATCGAAGTTGGCATCGGCTATGAGGCACGGGCCGTTTTCAAAGAGCGCGAAGCAGCTGAGGGGATACTCGGAGTTGTGCATCACGTACATCAGCTTGCCTGTCTGCCCTGAAGGAAAGAGAAATCTCACGCAGCCGCTCCGAGCCCTTCCACAGATGCAGCAAAAACCTCCTCTGCAGCTTCAAGCCTGCAGGTCTGTCAGGAAAACCCAGGAATGGAGCAGGCAGAGCAGCCACCACTGCGCATGGGCTCTGTGCTGGCCTCTGCAGCCGCACAAACACGCAGGGACGTTCACACCGGCTCTTCAACGCTCACACCGGCTCTTCAACGCTATTAAAAGCCACACGCTGGGAAGGGAGGAGACTAATTCACGTCTTTGAGCTCTCCCGTTGGGCCCTGCGATGCCCAGCGGGAATGCCACACGAGCGGGCCATCCACGGACACCCCACGCAGCTGCCGAAGGGATCAGCAGCGTGAAGCGTTTGAGCAGGGGAAGAGCTTTTACCAGCAGCAGGTTGAGCACCCGTCGCCTGCGACAGCTCGAGGTGACAAACAAGAGGGGGCACCTTGCGAGAAAAGCCTCAGCTCCATGGAAGAGTCGGGATCCCAAATGCTCCACAGGGCACCTCCGTGTCACTACCACCACTTTGGTGCGGAGCAGGGGACGAAGGCCGAGCCCCGGGCCAGCCCCGGCCACCGTCCCCGTGCCGTGGGGTCTCACCTTGGGCGCCCATGGTGGCGGCAGCCGTGTGGTAGGTCTCGCAGTCCACGCAGAAGGCGCCCTGCTTGTCGGCGCCCAGCAGCTCCAGCTTGCGCGTGAGCAGCTCCACCGTCTGCTGCACGCTCTTGCCCTCGGCCACCGGCACCTGCGCCACGCTGCGGGGACGGGGGGACACGGCGGGGACACCATGGGGAGGCATGGGGACACACGGGGACACCGGGGGGATGTGTGGGGACACCAGGGGGACACCATGGGGACACCGCGGGGACACGTGGGGGCACCAGGGGGACATGTGGGGATGTGTGGGGACACACGGGGACACGCAGGGACACCGGGGGGACACTGCGGGGAAACCATGGGGACGCGTGGGGACACCGCGGGGACACTGTGGGAACACCGGGGGTGACACCATGGGTGACACCGTGGGGACATGTGGGGACACGTGGGGACACCGCAGGGATGTGTGGGGACACCATGGGGACACCGGGGGGACACACAGGGACACCAGGGGGACACTGCGGGGACACATGGGGACACGTGAGGGCACCGGGGGGACACGTGGGGATGCGTGGGGATGTGTGGGGACACCGGGGGGACACCGGGGGTGACACCGCAGGGACGCGTGGGGACATGTGGGGACACTGCGGGGACACCGCGGTGACGGCTGCTCGCTGCAGGGACGGGATCCGCTTCGCGTTCCGGGATCCGCTTCCCGGGCCGGAGCGGCGCCCGCTCCAGCTGCCCTTCCTGGAGGTGCTGAGCGAGTTCTCGGCCCGGCTGCCGGCGCCGGACAGGGCGCTCGTGTGAGTGCGGGTGGCACCGGGGCGTCCCCAGTGTGTCACCGTGTCCCCAACGTGTCCCCAGTGTGTCACCGTGTCCCTAGCGTGTCCCCAACGTGTCCCCAACGTGTCACTGACGTGTCACCGACGTGTCCCCAATGTGTCACTGTGTCACCGTGTCCCCAACGTGTCCCCAACGTGTCACCGTGTCCCCACCGTGTCCCCACTGTGTCCCCAGCCTGGCCTTCCTGGAGGACACGCAGTCGGAGCAGTGGCTGGCGGCCGGGGCGGCAGGTGTCCCCACTGTGTCCCCAATGTGTCACTGTGTCCCCAACGTGTCCCCAACGTGTCCCCACGGTGTCCCCAGGTGCTTCAGGATCCTGCATTTCCCCCCGGGCTCCCAGGCCCTGCCAGGATCCTGTATCCAGATCCTGCCCCCCCCGACTCCTTCATGTTCTTCCCCCCCTCGCAGACGCACCCTGGCCGACATCATCATGGAGAAGATCACGGAGAAGCAGACGGAGGTGGAGTCGGCGCTCTCGGAAGCTGCAGGCTGCCCCCTGCCCCAGCTCGACCCTCGCGTCCTGGAGGTCTATCGGGGTGTGCGGGAGGTAAGGACAGGAAGGGCACAGGGAAGCGCAGCCACCCCAGGCACTTTCCAGGCTGGAGCGACACTCGCTGCTGTCCCCAGAGGGCTTTTGCATGAGTGAAGCTTGAGGCTTCAACAAATCCTCACAGATCCCAGCGCTCCTTCTGTCACTTATGCTCCGTCACAGCCCTGCTCACATCCATCTCTTTCTTCTTTTTTTAAAGGTTCTGTCCAAATATAGGAGTGGCAAGCTCCCCAAGGCCTTTAAAATCATTCCTGCCTTATCCAACTGGGAGCAGATTCTCTATATCACAGAGCCAGAGACATGGACAGCAGCTGCCATGTATCAAGCAACAAGGTAGGACTGGGTGTGGGAGTTGTGGATTGCAGGTTTTTTTAATTTGCTTTTTCTTCTTGCAAGTTGATAACAGATGTTAATGTTAAAATGATGTTAAAATGTTAATAAAACACTAACCTGCATCCTGCCCAGGTGGAGAGAGTGCTGGCAGATCCCCGAGCTCAGGTGTTTTAAGGGAACTACCTGCACTTACATGTTCCCAGGACCTTGCTCATGCACTGCATAGATCACGCCTTGCTCCATGCTTTGCTTTTTCCAGGATATTTTCGTCCAACCTGAAAGAAAGGATGGCCCAGAGGTTCTACAACCTGGTGCTGCTGCCTCGGGTCAGGGATGACATTGCCGAGTACAAGCGCCTCAACTTCCACCTCTACATGGCTCTGAAGAAGGCCTTGTTCAAGCCAGGAGCCTGGTTCAAAGGTAGCATCTTCCCCGAGAGTTCAGGTTGTGCATGTCTTAAACACAGCGCTAAATACGCGACAAAGAGGGTGCTGGGACTCCCATGGCATAAACTGATGGAGGAACTGCCAATATCCTGGGAGCAGATGCGTCCTGGGACAGAAAGCAGCTCTGCCTGCTGTGCTTAAGGCCTGCAGTGCCTAACGCGTCCTCCCCTGCAGGGATCCTCATCCCCCTGTGCGAGTCGGGCACGTGCACCCTGCGCGAGGCCATCATCATCGGCAGCATCCTCACCAAGTGCTCCATCCCCGTCCTGCACTCCAGGTAAGGCAGGGGGTGCCTCCCAAAGGATCCGTCCCTGGGCCTCGTGGAGGTTTGGGAGGAGGTTTCCCTGGCTCTCTGCCCGGGAGCCAGGCAGGAGCTGACGTGGGAGAAGGGAGCCCCCGTGCAGCCGTGTCGTGGGGCTGAGGCGCCGCCGTGCCCGTCCCGCAGCGCTGCCATGCTCAAGATCGCCGAGATGCAGTACAGCGGCGCCAACAGCATCTTCCTGCGCCTGCTCATCGACAAGAAGTACGCGCTGCCCTTCCGCGTGGTGGACGCGCTCGTCTTCCACTTCCTGGCCTTCCGCACGGACCAGCGCGTCCTGCCCGTCCTGTGGCACCAGAGCTTCCTGGCCTTCACCCAGCGCTACAAGGAGGACCTGTCCTCGGAGCAGAAGGAGGCCTTGCTGGAGCTGCTCAAGGTCCACAGCCACCCACAGATCTCTCTGGAGATCCGGAGGGAGCTGATGAACTCCAAGACCCGGGACGTGGAGGGGCAGCAGCTGGTGGCTATGGAGTGAGGGGGAGGAAGGGGAAAGCTGCAGCCCCGACCTGCTCCAGGGACTTGTCAACGGGCCAGGGATGGTGGTTGGTGCAGCTGGGAGCTCCACGGGTGAGCAGAGCCTGTGGGAGGTGCATGGAGTTTCATCATGGACATTCTGTAGCTCCAAACTGGGCTCTGGGAGCATCCAGTGACCCAAACTGCCTTCCTTACACTGCTCTCACAGGACAGAGTGGTCCCTTGTGGCCACCAGAACAGGAGGGCTTGGCCTCTTCCCCTTTTGGAGAATAAAACCTGATCTCTGTCCACCACTCCCGGTTCACCCCCCCAGTCTGGCCTCCGTCAGCTGTGCCCACAGCGTGGCACTGCCTGGTGCCATCTGCTCCTGGCGCTGTCCCCAGCGGGTGGCAGAGCAAAGCCACGAGCTGGAGGCTCCCTGCGGATCCGCCAGAGTCACAGAAGGGTCGAGGTTGGCAGGGACCTCTAGAGACCATCTAGTCCAACCCCCCTGCTCCAGCGGGGACATCCAGAGCACGTGGCCGAGGGGGACACCCAGGCAGGTTTTGAAGATCTTCAAAGCAGGAGACTCCACAACCTCTCTGGGCAGCCTGTTCCAGTGCTCTGGCACCCCCCAGTACAGAAGTTCTTCCTCATATGGAACTTCTGTGTTTTCATTTATACCCATTACCCTTTGTCCCCTCAGTGGCTGCCACCAAGAAGAGCAGGTGCCGTTTGGCAGAAAGGGCAGCGAGGTCCGAGCAGGTTCCCCAGGGTGCGAGGGCTGAAAACGCTCCTGCAGGTGCTGGAAGGTTTCCCAAGGGAGACTTTCCTGCTCCCCGGGCCTTTCCTGCCACCTCCTTCCCCCAAAACCCCCTCTGCCCCAGGGAGGGGGTGTTTTGTTTAAGCCCTGGCCTGGGCTCTGCCCTGGGCTTTGCTCCTCAGCAAGGTTTACGAAGCCCCAGGGCTGCCCTACACGCCTGTCCCCTCCCCTGGAGACCCCGGTGGGGCTTTTCCTGCTCTCGCTGCCTTTCCTTGCACTTCCCTGGGGAACTGCCGAGGGCGCAGGCGCCGCTGCAACAGTCTGAGGTTCTGCTGGCAAGACCCAGGCCTTGCAAACGGCAGCGTCCTGCAGGCTGGGCCCAGGGAGAGGAGCCCCCGCAGCCGCCCTGCATCCCGCCTGGACCCCGCAGGGCCGTGCTCGGGATGGCATCTTCTCCACGCTCTCCCGAGGGAGCAGCAGCTGCACGAAACCAGGCAGCACACGGCGCCCAGGGGCTGCTCGCACCCCACAGCGCCTTGTGCTTTTCCCCATCTTTCTGACTTGATCTCCTTTAAGGAAGCCAGAGCCTGGCGGGAGATTCCCCGGGCTCACGTGCTGCCCGCGCTCCCCCTGGTGCAGGTTGTGCTGCGGCGAGGGAGGCTCCAAAGGCTGCAGCTCCCTGCTGGGACCTGCCTGCAGGAAGGTGCTCAGCACCACGGTCCCGTTTGGGCCTTCTTCACCCTCCCTTCCCTTGAGGAAGCTCGAGCAGCACCTACCTCGAGCAGCGGCCGGGACGGGCGCTCTCCGGGGCGCCCGCGGGGCTGGTGACATCGTCCTGGCCCCACAGCCCCGGGTCCCCTCTCACCGCTGCCTTTCCTGCCGCTCCGGCGCGTGGGAGGCCCGTGGAGCCCACGGGAGCAGGGGGGTCCTCGCTGCCCCCAGCCCTCCGCAGAGCAACTTCCAAAGGGAAACACCTGGATGCATTAACATTTCCTTAAAATACTTTATTGCAACATCATATGGCCCTCTGATTCTCCCAGCAGTGGGACTCTTGCATGCGAACACCAAACCAGTTTACTCTTAAATTAAAAACTCATTTATATATATAATTTCTTTCCTTTTGCACAGACAGGCTCTGTACTCCCCCCTACCCTCCCTGCTAGCAGGAGCCAGCGGCAGACGGCGCTTTTTGACAAACGTTAGTGGAAGAGCAGCAGCCCCAGCCTCCTCCACCAGCTTAAGACTTTTGTTTCCAGTGGCATCCGAAAGGAGGGTTTCCATATCCTCCATATCCCCCGCAGGAAGGGGACAGCCACGGATCCACATGCCAGAGGTCACCAAGCAGCCACCCGCTGCCTCCCATCCCTGCAGAGTCTCCCCAGCTTCTTTGTTAACACAATACTACAATTTAATGGTCCTCTCTTAGAAAAGCAGCATTATTATTATTTTTTTTTTAAAAAAACACTTTTATAAAAACTAACAGGATCAACGACAACACAACAAAAACGCAATCACTTTTCCAACTGAAGTGTGCAGCGGATTCCCCACCCTACAAGGATACAACGCAAACCCTGACGGAGATGCAAACCAGCCCCTTCCACAACGTGAGTCGAGATTCCTGCTCGGGAGGAGCGAAGGCGCATTTCAGACAATAGCAGCACAAAGGTATTTGTTAAAATCAAGTCTGATGGCTCACCTACCTAAAAACATAACAAACAACCAGCTTCCGAGAGTCCCCATCGCTCAGGGAATGGAGGGGACAAAAAGGCACTTTTGGAAGGGGAGGAAGCCGGCCCCACGGCAAGGAAACGCAAGTCTCCCTCCCTCCCCATTTCCCAGCAGTTAATAATAAATTAAGCAGCCTCAGTGGGGCAGCGAAAGCCAAGGCAGTTGCAGTGGTTGCGCTCCGGAGCCGCTGTCCCCGCTGTCCCCAAACCTCGCCGAGAGGCTGCTCCGAGGCCGGAGCGTCTCCTCTCCCGCTGTCCGCGCAGCTGGGGGCACTTCCCCAAAGCAAGCCAGCAACCCACGAATCCCAAATCTAATGGCAACAAGAAACAAGGCACACGCTCCTCCTCCCAGCAGAAGCAGACGCGTCGTTCGCTCCCCCCGGGGCCCCAACTACCTGGTTCTACACGATGAGGACCAAGGGATCCCCGAGGGCTCGGACTCCTGTTTTGCCCTCATGAGCCACGCGGTCCTGCAGCACGAGGTGGGGGGTTATGGGCGTTTTGGTTGTGTAAGCCAAGGAAGAGGCTCCCTATACATTTTTGATGGCCCGCGCAGGGCTGGAAGTGGTAACAGTACCGAGGAGGCAGCGAACAGCGGCCGCCCGGGCTGAGAGGAACGCGAACTGAGAAACTTTTTACAACTTCGTTTTGGATTCTGCACCCCCTCCCCAGCTATTCCTGAGTCCCACCTCCATGAAATGGTCACCTCAGCCCTGCCACCTGCAGAAGCCATTGAGCCTCCTGCACCCACCTTGATGGCTCATCCCGAGGGTCCCCAAAACACTTTCCTGCTGCCCCTCTCCAGCACTAGGAGCAGAGATGGACAAGCACGGAGCCCTCTCTGTGCGTTTAGCAAGACGACCAAATCCTCAGCAGGCTCCAGATGGACAGAGTTAATGGACGGGTAGGTGAAAGCCAAAGACCTTTGGGTGTCCAGGGCAAGGTCCTGTTCTCATGGGGCTGGGCAGCTCTCGGGAAGGGGAGCCCGGTCACAGGTTGATGTCCGTGACGTCTGTCGGCGTTCCGGTGGGCTGGCTGGCAGGGTAAGCAGCAGTCTTGGTGGCTCTGTATTCCTGTTGGCTTTGGGACACCTGCTTCAGGCTCTCGGCCAAGGCGGCCTCGATCTGCTCCTGACAGGCCTTCAGGCAGTCCTATGGGAGAGGAGACACGTCAGGAGGCCTCAGTTCCTCAGGGCTGAGAGCACCTGGCCAGCAGCTCCCAACAGCTGCTAGACTTGGTCTGTGACCCTGCAGCATCTCAGCACCCAGAGGACAAAAAAAGCTTCATCAGGGTGGAAACATCTCCACCCTGTTGTGCTTTAGTCCCTTCCCAAAGGGCTCTGCTCTGGCTCTTTTCTTTCCATGAGAGCCCAGCAGAGCTCCCAGCATCCAAATATTCGCTGGGAGGCAACACGTGATTTCGGCATCGCGGCAGTCGGCGACGCTGGAAGGAGCGAGCAGGGCCAGCGACCGCCCTGCTGCTCCCGGAGCTGCTCCCGGAGCTGCTCCCGCACGTGTGCGCACGGGGACGGGGCCACGGAACGGGACCCGGGCGTCCGGCCACCGCAGGCTGCAGTGCAGGGTCTCACCGGAGCCTCCCTGGGGCTGAGGGGACACACGAGCCCCACGGGCAGCAGGACGCAGAGGAGCCCCGTGAGCCCGTTGCTTGTAGTAAAGCCAAGGCCTATTCTCAGAATGAAGGCAGGCCCCTTCCTTCCCCCCGGGCTATGACCAGACGAGGAAACTCCTGCAGGTGACACAGAGCCGGGACGCACCGAGGGCCTCGGCACAGCCGCAGCAGGGACCCGCCTGGGGAAAGGTGGCACTTTGCTCCGCGGGACGGCCACCGCGCGCGGGACGCTGTCACACACCGAAATCTCTTACCAGGAATCCACCACTGGTTCTTAGAAACTGTCAGAGGATGTGGCGAGCAAAAATAGCAACGCCCACCTCCCCTTCCCGGGGCTGTTTCCAGTGAGCACAGCCTCTCGCCCTTCCACCGCAGGCGGCT